GTTTCTGAATCCAATTCTAATAAAACATTATATATCCTTCTAATGTGTCCTTTAGCATCGTCCCTTACTTGTTTCAAAAAATTCCCATCTTCCAGAAGGGAAACCTTTTAAATCTGAAAAATGAAAGAATGTTAATTAAAATTGTGCTTTTTAAAAATATCCTGAAAAAGCATAGGAAGAAAAGGAAAATTTGTAAAAATATATATATATATATTCGTTGTTATTATATGCCATCTTTTGCAGGGGGATGGGTTCCTTCGAGTCCTTCAAGACTGGGCCTGTTAGTTTTAATACTCCTTTATGTAACTGGATACTTGATTTCCTTACTGATAGCCCCCAGGTTGTGCGAATTGGAAGTAAAGTTTTCAACTCCATCTCCTTGAGTACAGGCTCCCCACAGGGCTGTATCTTGAGTCTGTTACTGTTCACCTTGATGACCCATGACTGCTGTGCCAAATCATATTGTGAAGTATACAGATGATACAGCAGTGGTGGGTCTTATCTGGGACAACAATGAAGATGCTTATAGGGAAAAGGTGAAGGATCTGGTGGACTGGTGCAGTAAAAGTAACTGGTTCTGAATGTTAATAAAACAAAAGAGATCACTGTAGATTTTAGAAAGAACCGGCATACCCATACTCCACTCTATATCAAGGCTGAAGCTGTAGAGGTGGTCAACTGTTTTAAGTATCCGGACGTGCAGATAACTAACAATCTTAGTGAAGCATGCAAACCAGTGTTTGCATTTCCTGTGTCGGCTGAGGAGAGCACATCTTTTATCCTGTCCTGGCCACTTTTTACCGAGCCAGATTGAAAGCATCTTAACAAAATGCATTACTGTTTGGTTTTGGGGTAGCAGTGCCTCAGATAGAAAGGCCACACAGAGAGTGGTAAGGACAGCTGAGAAGATTATAGGAAGTCTGCTTCCTGTTATTTAGGACACTGCTTATAAGCGCTATGTGCTTAGAGTTCGAACCATTGTTAGAGACGCCACACACCCTCTTCGCAGTCTGTTTCTGTTGCTCCCTTCTGGGAGGAGGTTTTGAAGTATTTCTAGTAGGACTACCATATTCTGTAACAGCTTTGTTCCCTATGTCATCTGCCTGGTAAACTCACAAGATTCGTTTTTCTCACTAAGTACACGTATACAGCCGAACTAGACTGTTGTTTCTCTGGGCCATAGGTGTATATATGTGAGTATATGCATAATTTTATTTATTTGTCATGTTTATGCAGTGTATATTGGAGGTGGTTTCCCTTTGAGAGCTGTATGCAACAAAAACTCATTTTAATGTATGCTGATTAGTGTATATTTAAAGTGACTTTATTATTCTATTCTATTCTATTCTATTCTATTCTATTCTGTTCTATTCTATTCTATTCTATTCTATTCTATTCTATTCTCTATTATTTTCTATTATTTTCTATTATTGTGTTGACTTCTGGCAGCAGCATGGGCTCATCCCTGCAGTATTTTGGGCAAGATTGGTAGTCTAAAGTGAGCCTTTTCACCTTTCCCTCATATATGAGAAAAAAAGTTAAATTTTCAAACTTTGTTTTCCAAGTATGTTTAACTACATAGTAACTTTTCCTCTAGCCAAAATAATGATTGGGTGTGGTAGTGCTATAGTCGGATTTAGAAATGAGGGGCAATGAAACTAGTACACTACTAAAATGTACAAATAGTGTATTTTAAACATTTCAGAGAAGCAAAGATATCTAGAGCTACTTTTTCAGTATTTGATAATGTTTTATAATGCTTTATTTGATACCTTAAGCAAAATTAGACTCATATAAATTGTAGGACTATATTTAATAATAAGGATTTCTTCTTGTTCTTTAGTTCCCTCCCATATAAACATACACATAAGCCAAGTTTGCATTGCCTTCACAGGCTTTATTGCTACAGGAAGTTATTGTTGTACAAAAATAGAGTTTATCCCAATGCAAATAGAGGACAAAGAATACAAAATCAGGAAAGGAGGAATAGGAAATGCCCTTGTTAAGGCCAAGTGGGGAAAGGAGTGGGTGGGGATGGGGAATAGGAACTGCTGGTCCCAGGCCAGGGCATAGCATCAGTTTCTAATGTATACCAGACCTGCTCTCAGCTTCATAAATAGGTTGCCACCAGGGAGTGAGTGGGGTACAAATAAATAAATAACTTATATAATAAATAAGTAGGATTAGAAAATTTAAACTTTCTAAATAGGTTTAGAAAATGTCACTTCTGAGGCAGGTGGGTTCCCACGCTGCTGGTACTAAATAATGGTTGAACCAGAACTCAAAACCATTGCTGCTTCCATTGTCAGCCTGGTAAATGCAGTAGTCAAAACTCCAAGCCATTGCTAGTGTGTCTGTGCATATTGCACACCAGTATGCCACTGCCATCATTGGCTTTATACCAAGCCCCTTTTCTATTAACTGTACTTGCAAAAATCCTGAGAACTACTGATAACTACTAGATGGCATCAATCTTCCTTAACCCAGATCTGGTAGCTCTGAGAAACACATCAAATTTGCCCTTTTGTATGTCCATACCCTTTCTGCTAAGGATAGGCTCTCACAGGAAAAACTCTCCAATGAAGCTGATCATGTAAGCATCAAACTTCTCCCAAACAAACCATAATGTTATTCAATCCTCAAATAGTGCACTGATTATTCTAGCACAAGTCACAAGGTTGGAGCAATCATTGAATGTTCAGGGCACTAAATAGGCTTGCGAAATTGTCCTTCATGCTTATCCACAATTGCTCCTAGATGTAGTCAGAACATGTTTCTAAAGAAAAGGCAGATGGTGGGCTCAAATAGAAGCTGGGGAGAGAACATGTGCCTTGAAGAAGATGACATGACCTAGTGAACAGCCTTCTTTCAACTGCCTGGAAAAGATCAGTTGGTATCACAAGTATCTCAGGCTAAATGCCACATACCCCTATCTCTTGAATAAGGTGTGAGAATTTCCAATGCTTTTTTCCTCAGTGGGAGAAAAGGCTTGATAGGTAAGAAGATTCACAACGTTGTCGATAGATCAATCTTTAAAGGAGAAATGCCCATTCTAGAGTCATGTGAAAAAGAAAGTACACCCTATATGGTTTTACATATCAGGACATAATAAAAATCATCTGGCCCTTAGCAGTTCTTAAAAGTAGGGAGATGAACAACAATACATACCATATTATATCATGTCATCATTTATTTTAAAAAATGGAGAAGCCATGTGCGAAAAATTAAGAACACCTTTACTGCTTCCATAGGGATAAAGAGGCTAAATAACAGCCAGGTACTGCCAATCAAGTGCCTTTGATCAATTGATCATCCGCAAGTGTGTCTATAAAAGCCAAAGTTTTAGGAGGTTGCTGGTCTCCAGCACTGAGGTTTGAGTTAATACAATGCCAACAGGGAAAGTCATCAGCAATTATCTTAGAGAAACAATGGTTGCTGCCCATCAACCTGGGAAGAGTTATAAGGCCATTTCTAAACAATTTAAAGTCCATCATTCTACAGTGAGGAAGATTATTCACACGTGGAAAATATTCAAGACAGTTGCCAATCTTCTCAGAAGTGGATGTCCCAGCAAATTCACTCCAAGGTCAGACTGTGCAATGCCCAGAGAAATTGCAAAAATCTAAGAGTTACATCTCAGACTTTACAAGCCTCAGTTTGCATGTGAAAAGTTAATGTTTATGACAATACAATTAGAAGAAGACTGAACAAGCATGGTTTGTCTGTAAGGGTTGCCAGGATAAAGCCTCTTGAACAAATCACAAAACTTCTGGGACACTGTCCTTTGGACAGATGAGACCAAAATGTGTGGTCAGAATGCACAGTGCCACATTTGGTGAAGACCAAACACAGTACAAACATCTCAAACTAACCGTCAAGCATGGGATGATGATTTAGGCCTGTTTTGCAGCCACAGGACCTGAGCACCTTGCAATCATTGAATCAGCTATGAACTCCTCTGTATACCAAAGTATTCTAGAGTCAACGGTGAGGCCATCTATCCAACAGCTAAAGCTTAGCCGACGTTGAGTCATGTAACCGGACAATGGTCCCAAGCACACCAGCAGATGTACAATAGAATGGCTAAAAAGTGAAAGAATCAAGGTGTTGCACTGGCCCAGTCTAAGTCCAGACATCAACCCAACTGAATGCTGTGGCAGGACCTCAAGAGAGCTGTGCGTAAACAAATGCTCACAAACCTCAATGAACTGAAGCAATGTTGTAAAGAAGAGCGGGCCAAACTTCCTCCACAACGTGATAAAGTCTTACAGAAAAGTATTAACGATCAAGTTATTGCTGCTAAAGGTGGTTCTACAAAATATTGAATCATAAGGTATACTTAGTTTTTCACACATGGCTTCTCCGTTTTAGCTTTTTGTAACAAAAATGGTGACATAGTGTAATATGTCATGTGTTATTCATCTGAAGTTGTATTTACCTACTTTTAACAACTGCTAAAGACCAAATGATTTTTACAATGTCCTGATACATAAAACCATAGAACTCACGAGAGTGTGCTTTCTTTTTCACAGGATTGTATAATTAACATCACTGATCATAGGTGAATGCTCTCTAAAGGCCAAGATATATTTAGGCCAACAACACTATGCTTCACTCCGGTTAATTGTCCAATCATTCCTCTCATCTGGAGTGAAAAGCTCTAGTGTGAAATTTATTTCTCCTTCTGCTGCCACTTAGCGGCAGGGCAGGCTTATTTTTATTTTATTTATTTGTATCCCGCCTTTATTATTTTTTACAAAGAACTCAAGGCAGTGAATATGTCCAGCACACCTTCCTCTTATTTTCCCCACAGCAACAACCCTGTAAGGTGAGTTGGGCTAAGAGAGAGTGACTTGCTCAAAGTCACCCAGCTGGCTTTTATGGTTAAGGTGGGACTTGAACTCACAGTTTCCCACTTTCTAGCCTGGTGCCTTAACCACTGGACCAAATTGGCTGTCTATGACCTCTCTGTAGCATGAACAGGGATATGTCAATTCAAAGACCCCGTGAGCTCTGAACAGATAGCATGTTTAGCCCAGACAACTACATTCAGCTGCTGAAACTCTTTGCAGATCTTGCCAGACATTGTGCACATCCAGGAAAGAGAGGTTCTCATACAGGATGGGTCGGCAGCAGGGTTGAGAAATGTGATCATTATGCTTAGGAACAATGATACCTTCCTGTACAAGGTGATTCAGGACTTCGTGATAGTCATTGCGGGCAAGCTTGCATGTCCCGCTGCAATATCTGAATAGAACAACCTCCTCAGAATCATAGCCAAGCCCCAGATCCCGCACGTTGATTGGATGGCTACGTAAGCGACAACCGCGGTTACGACCACCACCTCCAGTCCTTCTGGAGCTTCTCCTGATACTGCTTGAGCCTGATGGGGAACGCTCAGCCCTGAGAAGTTCTGATGTGCTCAGGTCTTGCATGGTCATGTTTTTCCCTGAAAGAAAAAGGGAGAGGGGTCTTAATTCTTCCTCCCAAGAATAATATGGGATGAGTGTTCCTAAGACAAGAAAAAGGGCATCGATCTTGAAGAAAATACATTCTTCAACCCATATGATCATCTGGGAAAAATCCAATTGGCTTGGATCAAGAATTCATATGAAGCACCCGGCTCCCCAAGCCATTTGCCCTGGACAAATGCCAGGTCCCTACCATGCCAGTGATTCCTCACAGCCAGAGACGGTGTTTCCATGCTGTTTTCCTCCATAGAGGCAGAGCTGACAGAGCCCATGCTTCCCGAAACTGTCTCCAAACTTGCCATGACTGTCCCAGCAAACAGTGATAGTATAGTTAAGATACTCCACAAACGCTGCTCCTAAGATAAGACAGGAGTAAACATGCTGATTAGGATACAAATAAAGTGGAAGATAAGAAAGTAAGATCTGCTAAATGCAGGGATATTTTACATATGATGATCCTCCCACATGACATCATAGGGTGGCTGTGGTCAGGATGGCCTTTGCCCAGCTCCACTGGGTGCATCAACTATGGGCCAATGTGAACTGGGAAGCTGTGATCATTACCCAGCTGGACTACTGCAAGTGCACTCTACCAAGGGTTACCTTTAAAGACCACTTTGCAAATCAGTTGGTACAAAACGCTGCAGCTTGCTTCTTATTTGGCACCAGTGGCCAGGAGGATAAAATATCTATGATGCAAGCCTTGCATTGGCTCCCAACAGGTTTTCAGGTACAATTTGAAATCCTAGTTTTGACCAATAAACTATATATGGCGTGGCACTAAGATGCCTTTAGAACCACTACCTCCAGCTAAAATAAAACTATAACACGCACATCCCAGGAGAAATTGCTTGTGATCTCCTACTTATATGAAGTTGGGTGACGGCCTAAGGCCGTGAAAAGATAGTTATCCATCATAGCCCCCATGCTATGGAGCAAATTTTCCTTTCAAGTTTGACTTGCTCTAATACTGATGGCGTTACAGAATCAAGTTAAGACAAAGCTCTTCTCGAGCCTTTTTTTAAAAAAACGGAACAGTTAAAATGATACCATCTTTTGAATTTGCTTTTTGCGTGTTGTTCCATTTATAGCCTGCCTTGTTGGTTATCTTTGAATTTTAATTATTCCTTTTGCACCATGTCTATTTTGTTTCTTACCACGGACGGTTGTTATATTATTGAGAATCTTATGAATAGGGGAATATAGAATTGAAATACAGTAAATACATTTCTTCTGTGGTGCAAAATACTGTATGTGTCAAATGATCATAGGTAAACATCAGAATGAAAAGAAATCTTTTTCACTTCAAGCATATCCAGTGAGAAACCATGCAAATTCATCACACAAATACAGAGGCCCATCTGAATTCATCACACAAATCACTATGTGGCAGGGTATATATTTTGGACTATGTAGAAATGATATGTATATTAAAAATTGCCATTTCAAGTGTGAAATTCGGAGCTTTGTCTGCCAGAAATGGAGCATTAAGTTAACCAAAGAAACCAAAACAGCTGGCCCAATATACTGAAAACCAAAGTGGAGTGAAAGTAAGGAGAAGCTCTTCCATCTTTCATAAATCGAATTGACGTCTTTCATAAACAAAGCCTCTGTAACTTTCCACTGTTTCTGGAACTAAAGCCCTGATGTCAAGAACATTCCTTGGCATTGACTAACTCACCCTGAATCGTGCTTGTTGGATAGGCAAACTCCTGCAGGCAGAGGGAGGTCTGTCTAATCTGTTCCTTGACCCGTCAACTCTCCACTCCATCCTACCTAAAATACAAAGACACAGCTCAGGAACCCAGTTCCATTTCTCTGAATGTGAAGACTAGTTTTCACTCTTGCAAGCTTCTGGTCCAGTGATGGCCCCTGCCTGCTATACCTCTATGAGATCACAAAAATCTTTCAATAAATGTATCAATGTATGGAACGAACTACCCCCAGAGATCCGGGTGATTCCGGATCTCCCCTCCTTCCGCCGTGCCCTCAAGACATGGCTATTTAAGCTAGCAGGTCTGGCCTAAGGGATATTTTAATTTGGTTTTTAAAACAATTTTAAAAAGAAAAGGCCAATTAATATTTCGTTTTAATTACATTTTAAATTTAGTATTTATTGTATTATGTATCTGTTTTAAATGGCTGTAAGCCGCCCTGAGTCCGTTGGGAGAAGGGCGGGGTAGAAATTAAATAAATAAATAAATAAATAAATAAATAAATAAATAAATAAATAAATAAATCCAGTTAAATAAAGGTGCTGAAGAAGCTCCTAACAAGGTACATTTTTGTTTGTGACTGGCCTGGCAAAGATATATATTGCAATTTTTTTTATTAAGTCTCCTTGTGATTGGTCTGTTACATTAATAGAATGTCATATGGGTATTTCCATGGTTCCATCCCACAGTATCTGTAACTGCCAGTAAATTTTTAAAAAGCAAATCCTCTAACGTTCGCTAAGAATAGCAATACCCAAATTAAACATAGGTTTTGCAACAGAATACAAACATTGTTGTTCACTGCATTGTGTTATTCCCAGCCGCATCCAAAAATATTCCGTGAAATAATCATAGATCCTCCCTGTATTGGAGAATAGTAACCTCTGAGGTATCTGTCAGGTTCACACTCATGACAGAATACCTATAAATATTTGTATATTTAAAAGTGCTACACCTAGACTTGGAACAGAATATGCTCATAGAAAAGTCTTACATGAAAATTTTCCACATGAGGAACTACTGTGGCTTGGATAATCTCAGCAGTCCACTTTCCTTAAAAACAGTTCTATCTATCTTTGAAGTTTCATCTGCACCAATTTGGGTTTATAAACTAAGGGCGCAAGAATGGAATCTGGGAGCAATATCTCCAATGGTTCCTTTTATCGCCCTTGGAATGCCCAAAGTAGGCGACCTTTTTCATTTTGGGGATTTTTTAAGGGCAAAATGGGAGCCCTAAGACCTGCAAATATTTAAATATTTATTTCACCCATTAAAACACTTGATACGCCACCAAAATAGGCTTGGATCACCTACTTTTGAAAAGCCAAGTCTGGTGCAGACTTTGAACTCATAGAAATGTCTTTAAGCAATTTAATTGTTTTAAGCTCTTCAGAGCAGAGGTCTATTTTTTTTCCTGCAATGGGCATACAGAAATGAGATAAATACAGGGCTTTTTTTCTCATAGAACGCCCAGAACGGAGTTCCAGCACCTTTTTTGGATGGAACCTTGTAGGGTAGGCAAGGCAAGTTGTATGGCGTGTGTGAGTTCCGGCACCTTTTTTTTTTTTAAGAAAAAAAGCACTGGATAAATATAATTACATACAAAAATATGCCAAACAAAGAAATGAATCTGATTCATCACCATTCAACACACTTTTGTGTCCAACTGTATTGTAATCTGATTTTTTAGTTTTTACTTTCAGCTATTTTTACCCAACCAATACTCATGGATACTTTTTTTATGTTTGCACTGTTTCCATCAGACCCTTTCCAGCTGCCTATTAAAAATGTATCATGCTATTGGCTCTACCAAGTTGAATGAAGCACTAGGAGCTTCAGTGGAATCCTCCTGCCCTTACACCATCTTCTGTCCTACTAATTTACAAAGAGCAACTCTTTGGAGAACGGAATGGAGAGAGGGAGAGTTCACAAAGAGTCATGCGTAGAAGCTGGAACTAACAAAAATGATAAATTTTTGTGTCACGTCCTGATTTAATTTTAGACACTTTGGGCAAGTGGATATGTGCCCCTAGCTGGACAAGATTTCTCTTCCTACATTGCAAGGGTGGGAAGCCTCCTGAACAATCACTCCCAAGATCCCTCACCAATGGTATTCTGGCCAAGACTTTTGGGAGTATCAGATCAGATATTTGGGATCCTATCTTGAGTTTGTAGAAGGTTTGTATTTTTCTCAGACTCCCACAAGGTGGCAACACAAAACCAGTTTTCCCCCCCACTACTTTCTTTGCCCACACAGGAAGAGTTCCTTCTCACTATTTCCCAAGGACTGACAGAGTTCCTAGACCTGACTTTTCAGAAAAGGATACAGAGAGGAGTCCAAATTCTTTCAGAAACCATGAAGCACAGGTCAACCCTGAGCTACATATATTCTCGTTTATTGGAAAGACACATTAACAGCTTGGAATGCCTTTATATTTTTTTGAGGATAACTACAGATAAAGCCACTCTCTGAAGAACAAGCACTCCAACCCTTTCTAAGTTATTTGGATGTTTCTTGAAATCTGCCATGAACTATGCAAGGAAAGTAACATATTTTCAGAAACACCCAGTAAATATGGTCTATTTAATTGTTCTTCTTTCACCTTTCATGTAGGGCCACAGTCAGGTTTCTTTTACCTGCCATTCAGATACGATAAAATAAAGTTTTGTCATTTTCAATCCCAGCCATACCAAAATGAATACATTGCTGACATCTGCTTCCACATCTTGTAAATTGATACAGAAACCATCAGCTTCCAGCAATAAATTCAGATGTTTTGGATAATGACACTTTTCCTTTCCCAAGACCTTTGAATGGGAAAGCTATGCCTTCATCTAGTATTATGGCAAAGCTGTTAGGCCTTAATTTTACTTATCTGCAAAAAAAAGTTGGAACCAGGGCAGATATGAGAGAAAAGCAACATGCATAGATAGCTGGGCCTGTTCATTTAAGAGTTTGCTGCAAACCTGACTGGAAAGACCTAAATAGCCCCTTAGGTTCATTCCTAAGAGTTGACACTTAGCATGCTAACACATGCAAAGACAATGTCAGGTAGCTCCTGCTCCGTAATTTGTGTCATTAACTGGTTATTTCACTGCATTCATTCATGAGAAATGTTTAGAATGGGTTTTGCAAAAAATCAGATTTTTTTTTTCACAGGCAATTTAGCAAACAGGTCAAACAATGGATAATAAAGAAGAACATACTTGTCAACTGCCGACAGTCTGAATGGCTATTTCTGAGTGACTTCAAAACAGTTTACCAACAAGATGCCTCAAGTTCCACTTGGATTTTGGTGTACTAGAGCAAAAGAAGAAGAAAATTCTCCTGTTGGATGCCTAGAAATATCAGAACAAACTGAAGTGTTCACATTAAGGCGGCCTGTTGCCGAACTATAGGAATTGTTGAAGGAAGCTCATCTGATGTTTACTTTCCAAAACAAAAGGGATGTTGGCAACAAAGAATTTTTAATCTGGTAGATTGCCAATGTATTCACCATGCAGCACAAACTGCTCACCTTTAGAAAGCATCAGTGATATATCCTATACCGTCTATAATATCTCTAGTGGCTAGAAACACAAGACAATGTCATAAAATTAGAGATACCAATCTAGAGACAAGTGAAGATGGAGCAAGCAACCTTTTATGAACCCCCCCCCCCACACACAGTAGCAATAGACATGTGAGCAAGTAGACAGGCAGGAACTGCATCAAAAGTTGCAACCTTATGTTCACCTCAACTGCAAGTAATCAGCAGAGATGAGCCTCTAAAATCAGTATTAGAGAGGAAATGAAACATGGGCCAGACTGATGGTAGGAATTGGGCAAGGGGCAGAATATACAGTGTAATCACTGGCACATTTACTTTTAAGAAAATATGTAAGAAGAAGTATTTATGAATTGCACTCTAGGTATCAATAAATGGGTAGAACTTCTAGACACTCTTTCTTTTGGATCCTAGTAGAGCACAAAGGACAAATTAAAAACCTTCCAGCCTGATTGATCTGGCCTGAAAGCCTCAACAGAAATAGAGAGGACCCTTAAGCAGTTTCCTGGGCATCGGGAAAGGAAAAGGCCACCCATGAGGTGGGATCAAGGACAAGACCGGGAACCTTTTTCACACAGACTGCCCCTCTTTCCAGCCACCCACCAGCCACCCCCCCCACCCCATTCCCCCCCCCTCCCGTTGATTCCCTGCTTCCCTGCCTGGACAACTAGGACTTTTTGGAAGCCACGGGGCAGACCGGATCGGAGCTAGAAGACCGGGATCGAGGCACCCTGGGGAGTGAGCAGGGGCTCTGAAGCACTCTCTGGAGAATACATGCGCTTTTATGCACGGGTCTGTGGGAGGCAACAACATTGCTCCTCCTCCCTACACCCTAAGATCTTCCAAAGTAGATCTGCTTACACAAATACAGTCGCCCGCCACCCGCATTTGCCCCGCTCCCTCCTCCCCCAACACCCCCTCCCTTCCGCCGGTTTGGAAGGCGCTCACACACTTTCCAGCCCGCCCCACTCACCGTGCGCTCCGTCTCGGCAGATCGGGCGCCTTCTGTTGCGCGCGGCTCTCAGGGGACCATGCTCCGAGAATCCGGGCCGTGAAGCGCCGCCTTCTGGGTACCGGCCCTTCCTGGGCATCGAATTCGCTCCCTGCAGCGGAGAGATACAGTCGCCGTGGGCCAGGTTAACCCGCGCGAGATGTCCTCGCTAGAACAGCTACGGAGGGGGACCCTCAACTCTTTCAGGCGGACAGAGATTGTGCCTCTCCCCGATTTGGGTCGGAGCCCAGAGCGGACAGGCGCGCAGGCACGCACAGCAACAAGCTTCCCCGCTAGGGACTCAGCGCCGGCCCGCTCGTTCCCTTACCTCCCGGCGGCGGCGGCGGCGGCGGCGGCTCCACGGCACCTCCTGCGTTCAGCCGGCCCCGGGGGCCATGGCCGGGTTTCCCCCGGGAACCGTTCCACTAAGTATCCGACCTTCGCGTCGCCAGCATGGCCAGCAGGTGCCCGGCGCGCTCAGCGCCCTCCTGTGGGGAGAGTTCGGGTTAAAGCGACGGAGGTCCCGGACAGAAGCGGCAGGGCGGCCCCGATCCAAGGGCTTCCCATCCACACCGGCCCGCGCTCAACCCGCGCAGCAAGAAAATCCGCCAAGGGGACGCGCAGCCTGCAGGACTCGGACTCGTGACCGGCAGAACTCCAGTCCAGGCGGCCTCTGGGAGGGAGAAAAGGACCGGCTCCATCTCAGCGCCTAGCTGAGTCTGGTGTCAAATTCCAGGCTCAGCTGTCATCTGATCCCCAGAGCGGGGCGGAGCGGGTGAGTCCCGACGAAGAGAGACAGAGACAGAGAGAGATCCACGGAAAGGATGGGGCAGGAGCCCCCCGCCATCCCCTTCTCCTTGGGGCCAAGGGAATTCAGAAGCAGACGTCGCCGATTGACACCTCCTGTGCGCCGAGTGCTTGGGCGTCTTGTATAGTCGGGCAGTTTTACACTGGAAACGACGGGAGCCCCCTGGAAGCTCACAGGAAATGAGGATGCTGACGGTGCCATTTGGCAGGACTGAGTTTCATTGAGCTAAAACCCAGCACAAATCAGGCTCAAATAAATTAAGGAAAGGAAGGAAGGAAGGAAGGAAGGAAGGAAGGAAGGAAGGAAGGAAGGAAGGAGCTTTGTTTTCTAATGGCCTTTTTGGTCCTAATACTCACCTCACTGAGCCCTGCTTCACCAGAAGAAGAACACATGTGCAAGTAAACAGAAGTTACACACTTGCTGGGTGATCACAGTAGCAGAAATTATCTTTGTCCATTCATTGTCTTGGGCAAACCTAAAGGCACCAGTCTTGACAATCTTTTTGTCCAAAGAGGAGAGAGTGATTAGGAAGATCTTCACAAGAAGAGGGGAAAAAAGGTAAATGAATAGAAACAGTGGTTGTTTCTGCTGCAGTCTTTTAGCGGAGATATAAAGTAGCACAGCAATAATGAACAGGAGTCAAATATGGAAAAGCAAGGACATCAGCTTGGCAACCAAATGTAGGTTAATTCATTGTGTCCCCCATAGCTACCTATGGTAATGAAATTTGCACCTTAAAAAAAGCGAGACGGGATGGTATTATAAGTATGCATTAATAGTTATATAACTAAAATGTGTAATGTTAGAATTGAAATGTATGTATGTTAATGCATTTTATGTTTGAAAGATGTATAATTTTTTCTATTTTAAAAATTAAAATTTTCAAAAAAAAAAAAAAAAAGCGAGACAGGAAGAAAAATTGACTTGTTTGAGTTATGGAGCTGGAAAGGCTCTTGCGTATTCCTTGGACAGCAAAGGGGGACTACCAAGCAAGTATTGGAGCGCATGACACTAGATGTATCAAGCGAAGGCAAAATCGCGAAGCTGTGCCTCACTTTGGCCATGTAATGCAAGGAAATTCACTGGGAAAAGCAATTACACTTGGAAGAATTAGTGGTAAAAGGAAACCAGGCCATCAAAGAACACAGTAGTTGGAACCACCAGCCAGAGCACTGAAAAACTCAAAAAATAGTGCAAGATTGGAAGAAGCGGAGAGACCTCGCCCACAGAATTGCCAAGAGTCAGACTCAGCTGAATGGATAACATCATCACCAAATATCACAGGTTCACTGATAAACTCTCAGCAGCAATTCTCAGACACTAGCTTGATAGGCTTGAACAAAACTCACAGACCTGATCTTGGTTGAAGATTCTTAGACATACAGTATGATATAGCACAGTGTTTTTCAAGCTTGGCAACTTTCAGATGTATGGGCTTCAACTCCCAGAATGCTCCAGTTGGCATGCCACCAGGAGAATTCTGGGAATTGAAGCCCACACATCTTAAAGTTGCCAAGATTGAAAAACATTGATAGCACAAATAAATAGGAAATTTTATTGGATTCTTGGTTGAAGGTACTTAAATAATTGATTGGCTTTTTTTAGCCTGAAAATGCAGTCCATTTTTAACTCACTGTAGTTTAATTCCACTGTTTTTTCCTGCCACCCTTCCCACAGTTCTGCCTTGCACATTTTGGTCTTGAAGCTGAGGTTTTATTCGTTGTTGACATAACTGACATTTCTTGACAGAAACTCTGGCTGCCAGTTTGACTCCCAGACTGTTGCTCAGAATTCCCAGCAGTTGTTGCTCCTCTGAAAGTTCTGGTAACTTAGCAGCTGGCAAAATGGACTAATTCCTTGCACTATTCTTGATTCATATGATTATGGATGCGTTTGCCTCTAACAAGGTGTCATGTTGTGTTGTTGATGCTACTCTTCCATCCTCTACATTTCCTTGTCAGAACCTCTGCAGTTCTTGTTTTCAGGTTCTCAGAGGTAGAAGGCAAAGACATCTGATAAAAATTGGGAAATTGTACATAATTACGCCACAGTGCAATCCTGGCGTTTTGTATTTGCATCCTGGTGTTGGACATGATATATTTCAACATCTTGGCACACGTTTGGTCATTTATTCCTCCTCATCCTCCTTGGAGATGTCTATTGTTTAGGAAATTCTGTCTTTAGGGAATTCTGTGTTTAGGAAATTCTTACAAATAACTGAGACTAGGTGGAGGCCACCCTGGGCCACTTGCATCTATTCCTATCCATTCCAAGTTCTCTCATTTACCTGGCTTTTTTCTAGAGTAGGATGAATATAAAGTAATTATTTCACTTTAATTTTAGAATGACTTAGAAAACTTGTCTTTTACCAGTGACTTGTACCAGTGACCTTTCCAGGATAGAAAGATATATCCAGGTTGTATCATGTCCATATCATGGGCAATCATACACTTCACATCTCCCTGCTACCACTCCAGGTCGGTGCTGCTGGAAAATGTCAGCACAATCTCAGAATGTTTTTCAGTCTTGGGGGAATTTAAAGGTAGGAATGGTAGCAAATTGTGTCCCAGAGGCTACCCACTCCATTCCCACTTGGAACCACATCCATAAATAACCTCTCTACCCAAAGTCCAGAAATTTCAGCTCTACACCTCCTGCAAATTCATTACATCACTATCTGGCCTCCTGCAGCTTTCAGAAGGCCAGAAACTGACTCTCTCAGAAGTATCTATTATGCCGTACTTTAATATTTAAAATTGAGCGGCAATAACTTTCCACCAATTTGGTCAGATCCTTCCCTGTTCATTTCTGGAAAGAGCAGGAACAGAATATGAAACTTAATGCCTACAAAACCTGCCATTCTAGCCTTCTTGGCTATAATTCCTGGCTCAGAACTGAGTGGCAAAGGTGACTCTTTGCTAGATGTCACCCGTAGAATTCCCCAGATGATTGACAACTTCCTTCCCTACACCAGGTACATCGTCAGTCCCACGTAGTGGCTGAGATATATTAATCAGCTTATGGACAAAAGCTCAGTTCTTACTTCAAGTCATCTATTTTGTTTTGTTTTTCTATTGTAGTTAATAACTGAGATGGCTCAACAGAACTTTTCTTGGACTTCAAATAGCTTTTTCCTGGGAGGCCTTGGAAAGGGATTGTGCCCCTTTATTTTCCCAGGTTCCCTGACTTCAGACAGCTTTGGAGCATGAATTGATGTCTCATATCTCCTGCCTCTCCTTCCCTAATTGCTGTTGCATGTAAACTCCCCCCATTTCATTTCTGATGGCTACATTTGCTCTCAGTTGCTCTCTCTTACCTCTATTTACTTTTTCTAAATGGGGTGCAGGATCAAAACCAGTATAGCTTGATCAATTGCCAATCCAAATTGGAGGTGTGTGTGTGATATTTAATAATACTTTGCTCTGATGATGTGCTGGATGCTCATTAGTGCTTTCCCGCTGGATGGCCAATGAGTCTGTGCTATGCTCCTGCATCTAGCCCTTCCTCTTCAGCCTAGTCAGCTATATATAGGTAAAGCATTATTTACTCTTAGCCACAGAGGAACTCATCCCTGAGCACAGTTGCTTAAATCTATTAGGATTATCCTGTATGACAGCTCCTTTTTATTAAAGTGTAGCCACTGTTCTTTAGCTCACACCTGTATGAAATACATTTAGTGCTATCATTCCAGGTGGGATAACCTGTGTAGAGAACCAGCATCAGATCGAGCACTAACAAAAATATTGTACTAAATGGATTTCTGGTCTCATCCAGCAATAAGAAATGAACTCTTTCATAGATTGAAGCATCAGGATAAGTCACTTGTTTCCTATGATAATGAAAAACTTAAAGCACAGGAATTCTGGTATTTTTACTGATAGTCTTCTAGTTTTAGTTTCATCTTGATCATAAAAATAATTGCTGCATAATCTATGTTTGTGTGTGTGTGTGTGTGTATAATATAAGGACTAAAGAATTAGTACTAGGGAAAACAACAATTTACAACTATAGGCATGCTACTATTAATTTAACCTGCTTTAAACACATTTAAGTTATTTATTAAAAGTTAATTTGCTTCTTGGTTTTAATGTTAAGAGTGTCTGTGCCATTATGTCACATGTATATACACATACACCCAAACATTTCCCACTGAACATTTGGTACTTCTTCCCACCCCCCTCAACTGTTTCAATTCAAGAGGACTATTTTAAGCAACTATAACTTGTGCCTGAATTTTCTTATTTGCATTTTTCTTCTCCATCCCTTCTTCCTTTTGGGTAATGTTTGCACTGCCTTGCATTTTAATCAAGGTATAGCTTTTTGAATGGTTTTGGAATTTTGCAAATTAATCCTCCTCTAAATGATAGAATGTGTACAATAAAGACGTCTGCCCAGGATTGAGCCCAGTTAAGTATACATGTGAATTAAAACATCCTATTTTCCTAGATTTTAAAATGAACCTTTATATCATTATTATTTTATATACTTTTGTATTCTTAACAGATTTGGCTACTCTTTTATCTCAAGACTTTTTATCTCTATAAAGTTGCCACTGTATAATCTGTTTGGAATTAATTTGCTCTAAGTCAGGGGTATCAAACTGCTGGCCCACGGACTGGATGTGACATGGTGAAACTGCACCCACTCCATTGCCGGCAATGGGAAAAAAGTTGTGATACGTCGCGACACGTCACATGACGTTGCGAGTTTGACACCCCTGCTCTAAGTCATAAATATTATGAATGGAGAAGAAGTAAATAAACTGTGTTCCCTGCCACACATGTGGGTATCCTTTTCTTAATTCTCCAAAATTCAGAGAAATCCCATTAACTCTGGGAGACGTTTAAAGGATTTATTTGACTTGCTGCCACCATCCAACTCTTTTCTGATTTATAAATTACCTTATTATTCTCGTTTAATTTCTTTATATCTCAGAGGTGAAATAATGGCATAGACACTCTTAACATTAAAACCAAGAAGCAAATTAACTTTTAATAAATAAATGTGTTTAAAACAGGTTAAATTAATAGTAACATGCCTATAGTTGTAAATTGTTGTTTTCCCTAGTACTAATTCTTGTAGTCCTTGTATTACAAGAGACCTTGGGGCTGGAATTTCCATACATAAGCAATGCAATCGTAAAATATGAGGTCACATGACCCTTAGCAACATCAATCCTGCAGTCCTGATTGCTGTTCTAACCCCAGGACTGCATAGGTCGTTAAGCAAAAACCCTTGGACGGCGTGGAAGTCCTAATCAAGAAGGCAGGTGAATACACAGATACCATGAGGGGTACTTCAGGTAGGCACTGCAGAAGATAGGTAGGTGTATAGAGGGTATAAGAATGCTGTGGTCAGGTGCTATAGTGTGTAAATGGGTGTGCAGGTGCTGAAGAAGGCGGGAATGCCATGGGCAGGTGTTACATAGGGTAGGCAAGCAAAAAAAAACAAAAACCCCAATGAGAGTGGGAACAATTTCTGACTTCCTGCTGGCTTCCCCATTGACTTTGCTTATGTGAAATAGGGGGATCTCAGCAATCATAATCACATGACCCGGCTGCTGCAACATTTAATTGCAAGCCATGTGCTAAGCAGGGGTGCTGTGATTGCCACAACTTTGCAGACTGGTCCTAAGTCCCTTCATTCAGTGCCATTATAACTTTGAATTGTTACCGAATTAGTAGTCATAACCTGAGGATTAACCTATTCATAACCTTGTATCATAGATGGAGTTTTTCCTAGGCTAGGACTCTGAGTCTCCCTCAGTCTGGTTCTTCCATCCACACCTCCAAAATCCCTGTCTCCTCTGTTTCTCCCTTCCTCTGGAATATAAACTGGAGTGCTACCCTACACTACCATACTTTGCAATACTACCACCCAATATCACACTCTCCAAGTAGAGATTGTAGGCTTCAAGATGCATGGAATGCTTTTCTTCTCAATTTCAGAGATAGAGCCTGGCTGTGTATACTTTGCATGACCTTGTACTACATCTTGGATAATCTACTGCAGATTGCCAGAGGCATATATATGAAAACAACAGCAGCACAATTCCTTATATTTGTAGTGCCAATTTAATTTTTCACACAAGAAAAATACCAAAACATATTTATCAGCCTTTCACAACTTGGTACCCATTGTGTGATGCATGTAATTCCCATAGGCCATTCTGGGAGGGGTTTATGGGACCTAAAGTCAATATACTGGATAGCACAAAGCTGGAGGACGTACATATGGACTCAAGCATTGCTATTTAATTTTCAGGGAAGACAAAAAAATTTTTAAATGGCATAGCTGTCTTTTGTAAATCTCTTTCAAAGTTATTCCAGCTTACTGAACGGAACGTTAGTAGTATATCTTTGTATATCTCTAGGAGCAGTCTGAATTGGATTTAGAAGAGTTTTTTTTCAACATGAGGAGTATATGGGACTTTCAAGAAGTACCGTTCTTCAGTTGAGATAGCACATTTTGAGCCAGCTTTGTGTATGGAAGAGTGAAAGCCAACAAATGTAGACAGATGAGATTAAGTCTTTTTCACATCCTTTCATTGTACTAGAACTAACTTTTCCAGCTTAATTCTCTCTGGAAATTCTAGCGAAGAATTTTGGGATTTGTCATCCCAAAAAGATCATAGAAGCTGGTACCAGTTAAAATTACTGTTCTTTTCTGCATTTCATTTACTTCACAGTTGGAAGTCATTTGCATTAATTTCTCAAATCTCATTCAAGGATGAGAAGTATTATTGTATTTTCCAGAAAAAAAAGATTGTTGCCTACCATGAAGTCATGAAATAATTAAATCAAGCAAATTGTTTGCAATCCACTATTTGGGGTTTCTGTGACAATTCTTTCATAAGTTACTCTTCAGTTGGGTGGACAATTGCAGTCTGGAGGGGAGGAGAGACAACAGAAGAGAGGCGTTGAAATTAAAGTGAAAACTATCTAGCTTATCTATTTGTCCTTCTTATGAATCAGTGTCCTTAACATAATCTCAAACAAGACAACTCACATTTCTAGTTAAGAAAAGACTAGAGCAAAATCATTTCTTTCTCTACTGTTTGCTGCCTCAGAATATATTGCAGGGCAGGCTTCTCCAAGACATTTCCCGCTGAATGTATTTACCAGCGGCCCTCTTGCCAGTGGCTTTCACCGGCGGCCTCGGTGGCCCTTTTGCCAGTGGCCCTTACCAGCGGCCTCGGTGACCCTCTCAAGATCTCCACCGGTGGCCTCGGTAATCACGGCAGCGACCACGGCGGCCCCTTGCCGGCGGCCTCTATCTCGGCGGCCCCCATGTTGGCGGCCTTACCAGCGGCCTC